TATGTTTATCTTCTCCTTATCATGTAAACCAAATCAAGAATGTAAACCAAATCAAGAAAAAAAGAAACAAGAAAAGGAAACCCCAAATTTACATATCAGGAAAGAAGAAAAGGAACCCCTCTCCCTCCTCTTATTACTTTCTTCCTTTTTCAAGTTTAAGACAATCCACCCCTCTCCCTCCTCTTATTACTTTCGTCCTTTTTCAAGTTTAAGACAATCCTGGTCTATTTTTGTTTCTTCTATCTTATCAATTCCATCTCTTTTTATTTTTTTCTCTTCCTCTTTAACGACGCATTAGAAACCTCTCTCATAGTTTCAACTTTATTTAATTCTCTCTCTTGTTTCAAAATCCCGTTCTTCTCCCTTGTTCTCTCTTCTCAATGTTATTCAGTTCTCTCTCCCCAATTTCAGCCTTAACTGTATCAACTTTATTCGTACTTTGTCTCCCATCTCTCTCTCTTTCTCTATTTCACCTCCCATCTCTAGTTGTTTGTATTTTGGCTCCCATCTTTCTCTGTTTCTCTAGTTCATCTCCCATCTCTAGTTGTTTATGTCTTGTTTATTGCCATAGCCATGTCTTCATCTTTCTTGACCGATGTAAGACTAAAACTCACTCTCACCTGCTACCCACTCTGTGAAAACACTCACCACCTACTTATAAAACTCATCATTAGACACAGAGTTGCAATGAAGGAAAGAAGATGTTTCATGGTTTCCACCACCCAAAACAACATGCCGACAACTTTAGAAGATTCCATCTTCCCTCATGCACGAAGAACTCAAGCAAGTAGACCCTCTGATACCTAGCCATAAGTAAGATCCTGGTGATACCTAGCCTAGGTAAGATCACGAAGAACTCAAGCAAGTAGACCCGCTGTTACCTAGCCTAAGTAAGATCCCGGTGATACCTAGCCTAGGTAAGATCACGAAGAACTCAAGCAAGTAGACCCGGTGATACCTAGCCTAGGTAAGATCGCAGCAGCCTACATGTTTGTTTGGTGCATGTTTGGTGCAGCCGAGGCGCTCCGTTCTAATCCCAATGGGCCCCAAGAAAAATTGAGTTTGTTGATGGTGAATGATGAAGCGGGTGACTTAGAACCAGAGATTTTGGAGCGCTTCGTATCTGAAATTCGAAATAAGATCGAGAATTATCTTCGACCATGGGCCGATACGAAATAAGGTCGAGAATTATCTTCGACCATGGGCCTCCTTAGTTGAGTCGTACCACAGAGATAAAGGAAGATGTACATGCTGTATGCATGTCCGAGTTGAGTAATAACGCCAATAATGTGAGGGAAATGCCTTGTTTGCATCAATATCATGAAGACTTCATATGCAAGTGGCTCAAGTGCAATCAGTCATGCCCAATTTGCCAGACATAATTTGCCGACATAGTTTGCGCTCGGAGTAACGTGTGATTTTATTTTTCTTTTTTTTCTTTTCTTTTTTTTGTTACCGTCGGAGATGAAAATTCATATCAGCTAAAAAACAAATTTGGTAATATAAGATTGAGTCCTTTAGATTTTGCAACAGTTTCTTCTTCTTTTATTTAGTCGCAGATGCTCCTTTTCATGATTTAGGTATCCAGATGCTCCCTCTCAAGATTTAGGTACGAATATATGGATTCTTTTCTTTTCTTTCTTTCTCAATAACAATGATGAGTTTGGGAACCAATTTCATGTACTTTGAATTTTGTCGCAATCTTGGACAAGTATACTCTTGTGGTACATTGGATCAAATTATTACAAGTGATTTAGGTATGGACCTTAAAATTTCTCCTAAAATATGATACAAAAAAATCCAGTCAACTTATTTTTTTTATTTTTTCAAAAGTGCCCTTCAGTCTGAGGACATCCTCAGACCAAATTTTATTTTATAGTTTTTTTTGATAGTCGGGCACTATCTTAAAGCTTGGAGCACTACCCTACTAATGAAAAAATTGAAAAAATAAAATAAATAATTTGAAATTTGGACCGAGATTCCATCCTTAGACCGAAAGGTGATTTTGAAAATAATAAAATAAAATGCAAGTTGACGAACGTTCTTTATAATTTCTGCATACAAGTGGAGCATTTTGTATTTTAGAATAAATTTTATGGTCTGTGTGTAAATCACTAAATTATTATTCTTGGTTAGCAGAGAACATTTTGACAATCACATTCTTCTTGAAGAAATATTTTATGGAAGAACCCTAGTAATATCAAATGTGATAACATGTGATTAAGACAAGCTTTAAAAAATCGGATTGGTGAATTGATTCTGCCTCACCCATACCCATGTCGGATCAAAGAATTGGTTTATTGGATCAGAGAATCAGTGGAATTGATAATTTTTGTTTCAATTTTTTTTAAAAAAATCACTATATAAACATTTAAAAATAGTGTTCTTTTAATTTCTAAACGTAATTAGAAGTGGTGCATTATGTACTTTCATTTCTTTGTAAAAATAGGTGAATATTGAGACGTTGTTGTCCTATATAGATGTCTGTATAATTATTAATTATACTATAACATTATAATATTACAACAAAATAATTTAAAAATCTTAGAAAATATTTCCATATTATAAGATTAAAAATAATATTATCATATATAAAGTGAAATTAGTTTTAGATCAAACACTTATTAAATTTTTTTACTCGTCTAAAATTATCACAAACTAGCAATAATATTATACATTTATTAATTCTTTTTACTCGTCCAAAATTATTACAACTCAATTAGAATGGTGAATTTGGAAACCAATTTCATTTACAAACAAAAATTGGAAGCAAAATAGTGAATTGGGTGGCAATCGCATTATTGTTCTTAGTTATCAGAGATCCTCGTCACAATCACATTCTTCTTGGAAGAATATTTAGTGGAAGAAACCTAGTAATATCACATACAAGATCGTGTGATTAAGAGCAGCTGAAGTTGCTTAAAATCATGGGGGAAAAGTTTTAGTGGTCCTGATGGGGACCGATTTGCACATTGGAACACAGCAAAACCACCATATTAGATGGTCGGTTTCACTTCAAAGGTGATATCATTTTTATTCATCAGACTTTTTTTGTTTTAAAATGATACGGAGTTTAGAAATTGTTTAAACGAGTTCCATATGTGATATTGACTTTGGACCCTCCATCTAATGTATGATCATTTATGGGGGTTTCCTATCTCAAAATTAGTTTTGTTTTTGTTCCTTTTCTCTAAATTGATCACAAGATGAATTAGAGATAATTAAAAAATTCTATTTAAATAAAAATTTTCTTACACCTCAACCCGCAGCGCCCCTCCCCCCCTTTAGTGCATCTTGCAGCACATTATCTAGACCGTCGATTTTCAAGATTTTCATATGTTTATAGGTCTACTTGTTTTTAACCATTTTTGGAGTGTATAATTTTTTAATTAAAAATGAAAATAGATTTTAACATCATCCTAAAAAAATTTTACAACAAAATTACATGTTAGGATAAAATTTAGAGATGCGCCTTAATTGGATTGTTCAAGGTTTACATGTTAGGATAAAATTTAGAGATACGCCTTAATTGGATTGTTTAAGGCGGCAACCTTATAGAAACCACACCTAAAGATATGAGGTTTGCATGGTATACCAAATGTCCATTTTGGTCCTGTGTGGCCTCTGCGTGGAAATATTAAGAATTACTCGTGCATAACCTGTCCATGGCAAAAGCACAACCAATCATATTATATACAATGTTTCAGCTTTTCGCTTTTTAAACTCATACAAATTATTTTTCATATAAGAAAATTTCTATAATTACAAAATTGAAAAGTACATCACATTTATTAAATTTATACAAAAAAAGAAAATTAAGGTAATTAAGAGAAATTTCAGAATTCACTAAAAATAGCACTTTCGTATGAGGATTTAGACTAAAAATATATACTTAGAAAATCTAAAAATTGAGGAAGTATCACATTATCATTTAAAAATATCGATAGCAACAAGAAAATTAGTCTAATAGAAGCCAAACATATTCTACTCGTTTGGGAGTGTGATAAAATTTGGAGGTGCGCCTTAATTGTATTGTTTAAGGTTGTAACCTTACAGAAACCACACCATTTTAAAAAAGAGGATAATGGAACAAAGATAACAAATTAAAACAAAGAAATAATGTAGCAATGAGGACAACTTTTAATTCATTAATATCCCATTTTGACAGGGTTTTCGGTACGTGGGATCCGATGGTGAGGTCCTCTTACAAGGCTGGAGAGCTGTACATCAAAACTACGATCGGAGCCGATAGGGCCAAATGCATAACTGTATCTTCGAAGGACTGAGAACCCAGATCATCTCACTCTGATCAGTGATTTTTAACTATGTATTATTTTGCAGCATGATTTGCTGTTGGTTCATGGAATTATGCATTGGTTGCAGTAAGATTTGCTGTTGGTTCATCAAAGTTCCATGGCACTTGTATTCCTTGAAGTGGATTCCATATAGTCCACCGCTTTTCCATTTCTCTTTTTTACTGTTTCTTATGCATTTGTAGCATGCATGTAATGATACTGCCATTGCTTGTCACCAAAGATTGAGAAAGTCAAATATATAACGCTCAAAGATGCTTCATTTTCTCATCTTTCTGATGTATTTGCAGCATGTAAACTGATGTCACTTTTTCACAATTATCAATGGAAAAAAGTATAGTATACTCATATTTGGTAGGCATGAAGTTTCTTACGAAAGAGCTCCCGAGACTTTTTTCACACCAATTGGTCCGCACCACTCGGCTGCCAACTTTTTGTGAAAAAACTCACATGCCTAATCACATTGATGAGTTCTTTCATGTGAAAATACATGAACGAAAATATTTTCATGCATACCAAACATGCATTGATGACCCATTTGTCAGTTTTTTTTTTTTTGGTGATATTGACTTTTCTTTTTCAGTAAAACATGGTGATTGTATATGGTGATTGAATTTTAGTTTTTCATCTGGCAAGGATTAAAACTAAGCATAAGTTAGTGGTAAAAAACAATGATGCCATTTTTCATTCATTGAAGTAAAGATTACTTCTTTTACTTGTGTTTATTCCATGTGGCTCTATCTTTTCACTTGGGTCTGCCCTTTTGTTGAGCAGTTCACCCTCTCTCTCCTCTCACAGAATTTACAGTATTTCCAGGCCGTGCCCAGATTCTCCAGCTACAAAAGTAACACGAAAAAATCGACTTTGGCTCATGAAACGATAAGAAAAAAATATTGCATGAGAATTACAGGAAGATGAAACATTCTAAAGAAACATGAGGGTTCTCCAGTGACTCATTAGCAGTGGGAGAAGAAACCTTATCGAACTCCTGTTCTTTTGTTGCTTCCAAAGCTTCCTTTCTCTCTGTAGCAGGAATCCTAGTAGTGGGGTTTGTGATTTTTGATTTCTCTCTTATTGGAGATGCCCTAGCTACCGGGGATCTTGATTGCCTGCCTGAATTCGCAGCGGAATTTCCATCCCTCCTCATTTCTTGCCTCTGAAAGCGACCCATATCTCTCTCTGAAAATGATTTCCCAAGCCTTCTCACTGGCAATTGCTCTGTTCGATTCAATGGGGAAGGGTTTCCCCTTCCTTTCATTTCCTCATTGTTTGAGAATACCCTATTTCTTTGATCCATGTATCTTGCTCTTCTCTTTGTTGGGGAAACATACTGCATTTTGAATTTTGCTGGAGAAACCACTTCTCTTTCCTCCCCAAATGTAGCTGAAACACTCTCACTCAAGCAGTTCAGGCTCTCTGAGATTTCCAAGCTTTCATTGTCTGCAGAGATAGAAGCTTTCAGGGTTTCGTCTCCATGGGTCAAAGTTTTCAATCTCTCATCTCTGTGAGTTGAGTCTTTGAAGCTTTGGTGGCCATGGATCGAAGGTTTCAAGATTCCGTCTCCATGGGTTGAAACTTTCATGCTTTCGCCTTGATGGGTGGGATCTTTGAAGCTTTGGTCCCTGTGGACTGGAGCTTTTAAGCTCTCATCCCCATGGACCGGAGCTTTCGGGCTTTGCTTTTGAAGATGGGTACCGCCATTGTTTTGCAGTTGGCTAATAAAAGATGGATTTCGGATCTCTAATAATACTTCTTTCACTTTTTCTTCCACAACATATTCTGAATCTGGAATTGGGTTCTTCAAAGTGTTTTTCTTGCTAAAACAACAACCCATAGATGAAAAGATTAGGATCTCCTACTGTAACGTAAGTGATGGGGATGTGGATATATTACATAAAACTTTCTGCTAAATCTGGAGGTTATTCCATACTGTGACGCATGAGTGATACCAGTAAAATTCCGGCTAAATCTCAAGTATTTTCTGCTAAACCAAGTGATGGGGATTTGTAAGAGAAAATAACTTACCCAAAAGAAGATTTGGAGAAGGTATAGTGCAATGTCTCCTAAATCTGGAGGTAAGAATTAGAGATCTCTAGCTCTTCCTCTGTGAAATGATGAAATGGGGGTTTGTAGAGTGCTTTAAGGCAAGACCTCTGCCCAATGTAGAAGTGGCAGGGTTGAAGAAGACCTCTGGCTCTCCTGCTGTAAAATAAATGGATGATTATATTGCTGAAATTTCTGCCAAATGTAGTGGAAGAAGTGAGTTATCTTGGTGAAAACTAGATGAGAAATTGCCCAACTTACCTCCATATTTGGAAGGAGGGTCAAAAGAATGTCTTTCTTCGGTTCGGTGAGAAAGGAGTTCAGATTTTTTTTTAAAATTTAATATAAGTAAAAGAAAAAGGTTATACAAGGATGCTACCTGAGAAAGGAGTTTAGATTTTTTTTTTAAATTTAATATAAGTAAAAGAAAAAGGTTATACAAGGATGCTACCTTATAATGTAGAACTACGGATGCCTCTCAAAAATACATCTGAAAAGGTAGTTTGATTGATCATCTCGACATCGAGATGTTTGATTATGAATTTTACAATATATTATCTACACCATCCATTTTCAAGATTTTCATATGTTCATAGCTCTACTTGATTTTAACCATTTTTTAAATTTAAAATTATATAATTAGATATAAAAATAGATTTGAGATAATCTTAGGAACATTTTACTTCAAAATTATATACCATGATAAAATTTAAAGATGCACCTTACCTCTACACCTACGGATGGGTCTGTATGAAACTGCACTCATAAATAAATGATATAAAAATAAATATACACATTTCAGAAAAATATTTTGATATAAATATTTCTTCGTTTAGGCTGAAGCGACTGAATCTAACCAAAACTACAATACCATACTTCGCTTCCTCCATTTTAGTTCTGAAATCTGGAATACTTCGACCTCTTCGGCTAAAATGAAGAGAATTTGACAACTCTGGTCTATTACCATTGTCTCTGTGTTCTTTTATTTATGACATGGCGAATAGCTAGCCTACTGATTTGCTCCACTTAACTCATATGTGAATTTTTTTTTTGCCACTTTAGAGAAAAGTAATGACTTCAATTTCCTAGTTTTTCTTGAAAATGTCAAGTACACCCATTCCCTTTTACTCATGAATTATCGAATGGGATTGTATACGATGAGACCACCTTGTACAAATTACACATTTGTTTAGATAAGTCCTAGATTAGGGAGCATATATTGTGCACTTACTTCATTTCGCATTGCTTATAAGTATTTATCTTGACATTCACTTTAGAAGCACTAAATGTATGTAATTAGAACTACTAATTCACTTTAGAAGCACTAAATGTATGTAATTAGAACTACTAATTCACTTTAGAAGCACTAAATGTATGTAATTAGAACTACTAAACACTAGATGTAACTCTTCACAAAATGGATAGTGCCTACTTTTTTGCAAGTACTCAAATAAAAATTTTATTTCCTGAGGTTGATCACTAAATTGAGGAGACTACAACAAAAAAATTGGGATTCACAATTCAAATTTGCTTCTAGATGTGATTCTAGTGGAGGGAGCAAGAGATTTTGCTTGGACAATGCCCTTCAATATGTAACTGCTTAAGAGATAAATATTCGAACAACACGAGACCCTGATCTCCATTGTCAATAGCATCCAATGACGGTGGAGATGAAATATTATCTCTGAGTACCATTAGATGTGTAATACTCAACCTAGTGACTAACTCGAAAAAAATAAAAAATAATTCGTTGAAATACACACAAGATTGAATAGAGATCCTCTGATTTGTGGATGGTCGAATCTAAGTGGTTAGAAACTCAAAATCCTTTTTTGATTGAAAATACCTATCTCTTGTTTATAAAGTGGATTCTGAAATTTTAGATTGAAAAAATCCCCTTATATATGTTTTTTGCTTGAGGGCGTATGTCTATAGCATATGCTACTGTGGAGTGTACGATATGCACTCATGGTGTTAGTATACTATGTAGGTAATAGAGACTCTATGTGGATGATCTTACATCTTATGTGGTTGATATCATTCTTAGTGATAATCTGTAAGTACTTCTGCTTGTACCAAAATTTATATATTAACTTGGATTATGTATCTAAATATAACACCAAATAAAAATTACTTGCATGGATGAGTAAGTGTATCAAGTGCCAAAAAATGTTGAGGTAAAAGTGTTATGTGTGTCAAGAGATGCAATTTTATATTTGCATCGCTGACTCATCATAAACCATCCTAATAGATGTATATGAAAAAGTGTTAGTCCTACATAACAATAAAATCAATGATCAGAATTTATTCTTCGAAAGCAATCATTTTAAAAAATTTAAATTTATTAACATGGTAATGTTGCCGGTCAAAGATTATATATTCCCAAAAAAATTAAGTTCAAAGTCCAATTCAAAAATGGATTTGGCTTCTTAGTACCATAACATATACTTTCGCTCGTTAATTGGTTGTGAACTTTCCCTTATTACAATTACATTCGAATTAATGACGTGATTCTATGACCTAGAGAAAGAGAGAGAGCACATGATCTTTAAACAAAAGGGAAAGGTTTCTATATTTACTCTACATCATAGAAGATCTATGCTTCCCCTGCCATCCAGCCATCTCATTTTGATCAAGGGAGCCACTCACCATTCGATCTTAGATTCGACGTCTCAAAGTATCTTATTTTTATTTTTTTTATACAAATTTTATGAATATGAAATTTGGTACGTGCCATATTGTTATTGGGACGCACCTATAAAAAATATTAAAAATAAATTTTCGATAAAATATAATAATCAAAATACCCCTTGAAATTTTTAAGGGTATTTTGGTCATTTTATTTTATTGAAAATATTATTTTTGTATTTTTCGTTAGTACGAGTTTAATAGAGGATTGGATGTCAAAATAATTGATATAAAAAAATAAACAATAAAATAATATAGAAATGTGACATTGTGATTGGGATAATCTTAGCCCTCAATTCAAAATGGACGGTTGGATAAGAGGAAGTATATAAGTTTTATGTTGTAGAGGAAGCATAGAAAGCATGCCCTTTAATGAAACCAAGCTTTGTGGTCATTCTTAAAGAGGAGATATCGACGCACATGGGAGCTTATGGAGAACTCTAGGGTGCTTTACTCATGCAGAGCAAGCTAACCTAGTGTGTGCGAATGGAGTTTTCCCTTAGAAAATGTAGGGTTTTATATTTTTGTTGTTGAGCCGGCCCCCATATCTAGGGTTGGAAATGGTTTGGGTGGCCCGATCTGGTCCGGTCAACCCAACCTTGAAAAATCAGCGCTTTGGCCACATAGTAGCCTCAGGGCTTGGCCAGGCCTGGGCAAGCACAACACATGATAGAGCCGGGCCAAGGTTAGGCCAAGGCCAGCTCGGTTCGGCCCAACTTGGACCTCTTTTTTTTTGTTTTTGTTATTATTATTTATTTAAGTTGGCCTGGTGCCGCCCTGCAGGGTCAAGCGAGGCTTGGGCTAGAGCCTCTTTGGCCTAGTCAGGGCAGGCTTGAGCTGGCCCTATGGCACCTGAGTTGTGCCTAGCCTGTTGCCAATCCTATCCATCTCTAACGGGATTTCACTTGTTTCTTTGTAAAATCTGTTATTTTAAAATCTGCAAATTTTTTATCTGAATTGTCGAATCAGATGGGAATTAGTCGAGACCAAACCGGTTCATAGTTGGGTCGTGGCATGGTTCCCCCCAAAACACCCCCTTCTATATATATTTTCCTTTTTTTTTCTCAGCTTGTCTAATTTTTTTTAGGTCCCATTAAATCCCTACCTACCCTATATACCCTACTTTAATCTTTATTTTATTTATTTATAATCTCTTTTGGATCACTCGTCGGAACCAATCCAGACCGAACATAAATTGTTGATCCAACAATCCAATGCAGATATGTGGATGAATGATCTGGCCCCATTCCTGTTTTTAAAAAACCGGTAAAATCAAACACCTATTCCAAAAATTTTCTGAAACCAATTTTGATGTGATTTGTCATTATTTGTTCTAATAAGGAAGCAACAAATTTCTAGAGATCCATGATCTACATTATAACGATCATTAATATAAAATAACATCTAAAATAAAATGTTGAATATTTTTATTAAATTATTTTTCTATCCATTAGCAAAGACGGACGTTTGTAAGTCAGCAGGCTAGTGAGTCGGCGGACACACAAAACACTTTCCAATTCTTTTTTCTTAGTTCTGCAAAACCATAGCTATACAGTGGAAATGCATATAGAATGACATGTATTTTGGATATTCGATCCAACCTAAGATTTTAGAAAGAGAATTACATTTGAAAAAAATGTAACCTAGAACACGCCATGGACTTTTCCTTGATCAAATGCAAAATAATTTGTGAAATTGTAATCTCAAGAAACACACCACTTCCGATAAATCAAGAGAATTTCATACCATGAAGTGGCTTTCATATCTAGGCGGCATGGACAAAATCTCAAAATTCCATTGTTTGTGGGTACAGTGTTTGTGCATCAAGGCCTGTACCTGTTATTGTGCGGATCCTGATATTTACGTTGTTCAATTGTATTGGATGATATGATTCATTCTCTGAGTGCACTTGTCTCAAAGTTTGAGATTACGCACCACCCAAATTAAATAAATAATAATGATCTTATGAGACCCTCCCACATCCATGTGTGTAGGACCTCAAAAGATCATCATTAAATTTGACACAGATATCTAGAAAAGTGTAGATTTCAAAGGGTAGATTTCTCATTCTAGTTCAAATGCACTTGTCCTAATATTGAATAGAGATTACCTAAAATCTTAATATTTAAGAACTCATTTTTTCTTAAAATAGTCATGAGTCTTAGGTGGATCTCAAAATTTAATATAGAAAAATATTTCCAACTAGCTCTTTCGCCTGAGGGATAAGTGTGCATTATGCCTCTGTAGTACTACAGTGTATACACTATTTTTAATAAGCCAAATGGATAATAATCCAAAGTGTTGCCTGATTTTTGTGGTGGTGCGCGTGAAAATATATAAATGACTCGAAAAATAAAGCAAACACACAAAAAATAGATTGAGAAACAAGACTTTTCGATAAAGCAAATAAATACTTGCAAATTGGATCAGAATCTCCCAAATCCAGTTAGGCAAATGCCCTTAAACCATCTAACTTATATTATGCTAAGCGATACCTTAATGGGTCCGACTCTCTCTCTTTGCTACCTTTAGGTCAATTTGAGGTGTGGCTTGCTAGGGATTGGTTGGGATTTGATTTCTCTCTCTAAAATGGGAGCCTTAGAGATAAAGCTAG